CACTCCAGTCTGGGTGACAGAGTGAGACTCCAACTCAAAAGTAATAATAATAATAATAATTCATGATATGGGTAAGCGGTGGGAGCCAGTTGGGGCCCTTGTTGGCCGCCTTGGAGAGTGGGATAACGGCCCACCCTGCCCAGGCAAGGGCCCGGCCTGCATGAACACAAGGCGCCCTCTGTGTCCCGCCTGTAGGGGTGTGACAAGCAGTTCTTCAATGCGTCAGTGCAGTTCGCCAACATGGACCCGCTGCTGGACCGCATCAACCGCCGTGCTGCTGAGCTGGGCGTCTCAGTGCAGTACGCCACCCTGGGCGACTACTTCCGCGCCCTGCACGCTCTCAATGTCACCTGGCACACCCGCGACCACCGTGACTTCCTGCCCTATTCCTCAGGTACAAGCCTCCGGGGACCGGGTGGCGATTTGGTGCCAGGGAGGGTATAGATCTCCCTGCTTGAGTATTGGCTTGGCTCAGGCCTCGGGGCCCTCGAGTGGTGCCGGGCAGGCCCTGGGTGAGGCGCCGGGGCAGAGGCTGGCCCTTCCCTCTTGTCCCACCTAGACAGCCTTTCTGCCATACACACACCCAACCCACATGGGTCTCCCAGTGTCCACAAAGCAGTCTCCCGCCTCCACACCCTTGTGTGTGCAGCGCCCCCTGCCAGGAGTGCCCTCCCCATCTTCTCTTCCTGCATAAGTCTCGCAAATGAAGAGGACCCAAAAATACCCAGAATTTGTTTATGAAAAATTGTGAGGCCGGGCTCGGTGGCTCAGCCTGTCATCCCGCACTTTGGGAGGCCGAAGGGAGTGGATTGCCTGAGCCCGCGGGTTCGAGACCCGCCTGGGCAACTTGGCAAGACCTCATCTCTACAATAAATAAATAATCAGCCGGGCGTGGTAGCGCACGCCTGCAGTTCCAGCTCCTTGGAAGGTGGAGGCGGAAGGATCGCCGGAGCCCAGCAGGTCGAGGCTGCGGTGGCCGGGAGCGGCCCCTGCCCTCCAGTCTGGGCGACGGAGTGAGACTCTGACTCAAAAAAAAAGAAAAAAAAGTGTGTGTTCATTCTTCATGTTTAGACTTCGGTCATCTTCCAAGTTCTCTCCATTTGATTTAATGCAGTTGAACTTGTCGATGTTGATGCCTTTGATTGCTTCTGCCATTTTCCGTTTTGCCTCTTCCACATTAGCAAAACGTTCTCCTTTGAGGACTCTTTTAATCCAAGCCAACAGAAAAAAGTCACTCAGGGCAAGACGGGTGAATAGGGAGGGTAGGGCACAGGGTCTTGCTGCTTTGGGTCAAAAACCACCGAACACTCAGCGCAGTGTGGGCAGGTGTGCTCGTACGTCACCCACCATGAAGTGCCTTGAAAGAATTTCCAAAAAAAGTCACCAAAGCCAAATGCAGCCTCTCACAACGAGGCTGGCCGGCACACTGATGCCAGTGGGTTCCCCGAACTCTTACCTCGCCTACCAGGGACTCGCTCCCCAAAAGATAACTCTGGGGTTTTTGGGGTCCCCCCATACGCCTCCTCCAGGAAGCCTTTCCTGATGCTAAGCCTGGGTCAGGTACCTCCTCAGTGTCCCAGCAGCCCCTAGGCTCCTCCCTTCTTTTACTGCATAGTCATCATCAAAGACTTGGTGTGCTTCATGCCTTTGTTTTTGGACTAGAGCTGGACTGGCCACAGACAGCACAGCCTGAGTCAAAAGGACTGGCCATGGGAGTGAGCCTCTACTCCTTGGCAGTGTGCGAGTCACGAAACCTCCCTGCCTCAAAATGGGGACATCAGCCAGGTGCAGTGGCTCACGCCTGTAATCCCAGCAGGCGGGATGATTGCTTGAGACCAGTCTGGGCAACAGAGTGAGACCTTGTCTCTACAGACAATTTAAAAAACATTAGCCGGGTGTGGCATCGTGTGTCTGTAGTCCCAGCTACTCGAGAGGCTGAGACGGAAGAATCGCTTGAGCCCCGGAGGGAGGCTGCAGGAGATCGTGAGGGTGCCACTGCACTGCAGCCTGGGCCACAGAGTGAGACTCCGACTCAAAAAAAAAA